AGTGAGTTAAGAGTGAAGCCATGGTTTCTTTGGGTATGTTGGTTTTGAACTCGTGGAAATTAATGCAAGAAAGTCATGCACATTGCAGAGCTTTTATAGACAAAATTGTATTTACATGATATACATTTAATTTAATTGGAAACGGAAGAGCACAAAAACTTCGCCTTTAGTGGCTTATTTTTCTGCATTCTTCCAAGAATTGGCATTGATTTCAACCCACATAACTTGACACAAAAATAAGGTTAAGCGTTATTTACAAGTTATAAAATTTCCAACAAAAGCATCTCCATACATCCTATCACCATCCGTTAACGTATAGTAAACTCCAGGAACCAAGGCAACCTGGCTTGATTGCTGAATGTTCGAGATGATCATGGCAGTATAATAGCCACAAAAGCAGTCTAGATGGAAGGAGATGACTTGGAAATTGGCATACCTGCTTGACGTAGGAAGACCGTAATCAAATAGAGGTTCACATCAACGTAAGTATGCTTCTCCCTAACTTACCCCTACAATTGACCATCTCAGTCTCCTTAGCTGTCTTCTATTCAACAAATGAACAGATTTTACTAATTATGTAAGATCACAACTTTTGCAGGTATGTGACACAAAACGCGGGCCACAGTAGTTTAAAAACAAGAGCAATTTTTGTCTTAGCTTCAGTAGATTATCGTAAATGAGGGCCTGTTTGAAAAACTAGGCTGGCATTTTGTCTCAACATGGAAAGATAGAAATTTGAGAGTCTGAGAGCATACCCGAATGACATTATTCAAATGGCAAATTGAATCTGCCCCAAAAATGATATTGTTGGAAATCTTTGACTGCTGCTAGCTGCCCCCCAAATTAAATTGCTCGAATCACTCCAATCTCTGTATTCCACACAAAATTGTCACGCAATCACTGTCTGTAGAAACCCTAATTTTATCCCCAAAACTTGTCCCTCTTGAAGACGTAGGCACTGTTTCCCGCACCGACGAGAAATACGTTAGTGCCGAGGGGCTGTGGAAAGTTTCAGCATTTCTAGTTCTTGGACAACCTTTTTTTCTTTTCCCTGTCCTATTAAATACATTTATTTATCCAAAAAAAAAAATTTAATTATCATTTATATATTATGTTAAATTTTTATCTGAAATTTATGTATAAAAAGTTAAAAAAAATCAAACTAAATTTATTAAAAATGAATGAAAAATAATCTTATTTTACTTTTCAGAAAAAGATAAAAATAAAGAGAATTTGATAATAAGATAAATAATTAAAATTAAATAATAATTATAATATAAAAAATAGTTATATATCTTAAAAATAAAAGACCTACAATTGGTTTAGAATAGATTTTAAATCAAATAAGATTATTATGTATGAAAGAGGGAGCATATAACAAGTTGTATTATATTGCAACTCATCAATGTATCTCAAACTATAAATGAAAAGGGAAATGGTACATATATTTTATAAAGTTATATATTGACCATTTTTATTATTTGTACCATTAAAACTAATGATTTTCGTTACTTGTATCATTAAAATTGATCATTTCTATTATTTATACCGCTAAAACTGATAAATTCCATTACACATTAGCAGTTTCCATATATAATAGAGTTTGTAATTTTGTAAAGTGTATATATTATTGTTCCAAATGAAAATTTTGATCTCATCTAGAAAAATGCTCAAACCATTTCATATTTTCTTCCATTGCTGTTTACGTAGCTCAATCTTGGGTAATGCATGTTCAAGTTTAGTTAATGCAACAATGGGAAAAAATCTGAAATGATTTGACCTTTTTCCGCAAATATGCAAGATCTTAAACTTAATTTTGTATTAGCTGCAGTAGTTTATGGGCAATGAGTCAGCCTTCATCTTTTCAGAATTTGACAGTTTAATCCCTCAATTCATGATTTTCATTTTAATTCTTATCTAAAAAAAAATGAAATCTATGTAAAATCAAATAAAATTACTCCTAAACAACGCAAATGAACTTGTGAGACTAAAAGAACAAATAAAATTGTATAAAAATTAGACGTATCAATATTTTTTTGGCATTGCTCTTATCTTTTCACGGTCAAATATACATAAATTCTTTTAGATTGCCAAAAAAATTTTGCAAACCGTTTTTTTTTTTTTTCTTCCATACATGATTTAGAACGTGTGGAAGGTTTTCACAAAATGTATGTCTATTAATTGTAATTGATGAATTGAATTTTCATATATATATATATATATAAGGATGGCAACCACAGGGACCCTTTCCCATCCCCACAAATGACGGGTACAAGGATCTTTATAAAAAATTTTTACGAAGAACAAAAAGTACTCACTGTCCCCATCTCTATGGGGAATGGTAAGTCCCACAGGTATGTGATTCCCTGTCATATATTAAAATTGTAGGATTTAATCTTTTTTTTTGTTGGGTTAATAAATTTTATAATATTATATAAAACATAATTCATATGATATAAAAATAAAAACTTGCAGTATTGAAAAGCATGTCAAAATTTTCACGAACACCATAAAAAATGTATTACATAAAGAAATAAAAAAGAGTAGAAATTTGAAACAAGTAAATGTATACAACAGTCCAACAAATGTATACAATTCAAAAAATTCATAAAAAAAAACAATATAAAAAGAGTAGACATTTGAAACAAATTGGGTTTTATATTTTTATAAATATATTATAATTTATAAAAATATAAATTTAGATTGGGTTTGATAAAAATTAATTGAGTTTTAT